AGACCTGCCCTGAAGAAGTGCTTCAAACTCGTGCGAGTGAAGAAAACGTTTGCAAATGAGACGCTGAAGGCGGAGGCGGGCCTTGGGATGTGAGTTCCAGCTGAGTCCTGCTCTACATCAAGCATCTCTGCCCTGCGGCCCATGCCTTGACAGGAGCGAGCCAACATTCTCGTGAACTTCCGGGTAGAGAAGCAAGGAATGAAGCAGATCGGTGAAGTGCAGTTCCTCATGCAGGAGTACCTGACGGCCGTTGAGCTGCATTGGGAGGGCTCGGGGTGGGGACTGGAGGGCCGGGAACTGCGTAAGCAGGCAGGTAGGTCCGTGCCTGCAGAGATTACAGTACCTTTCGTGCGCTCTTTGTGCCATGCTGCGAAGCCCTCCATCTCCCAGTGCCGCCAAACCCCCCTACCCCTGCAAATCAGCAAGTTCGGGAACTGGCGCATCCGTCGCCTGCACGGCTTTGTTCCATTCGTGGGAGAGTGCAGCACGGCACTGTGCAAAGGCGCTGAGATTTTGCTAGGCGACGTCAGAATATACACTATCATACTATATTGTACTACTATATATATATATATATACATATCTCTCCCTGAGTAATTGAACCTGCAGTATCACTTACCGAAAAGAATATTTTAACAAGATCTACTGGTGTGTCTCCTACAACCGCCCCTTATCCAACCTTCTCAATGTAAGACTGACGATTACGGGACAGTGGAGCCTTTGGGCATAACAAGCCCAAGATCTGGAGGTTTCGGGGAGCCTCCGGATACAGCGCAAAAGAAAGGTTTAGGGTTCAGTACTGTACAATACTGCTTGTTTAGTCGTAATAATATGACTTCTAAAATGACAGTACTGGCAGTCCAGAAGGCTTCATGCTTTTGGAGTTGCGTGCTGCAGACGGCTGGATGTAAGGGCCTCCTTTCGGGAGTGGTGCTAGGTTCTCCTAAGTGGCCGTGTCGAAAGCGTGGTGGCTGACGAGAACTGCCAAAATACCCCTAAACCTTAAACCCTACTGCAGGCGGACACGAAAGAGTCGAACCCAACCCTTAAAAAAAGAACAACCCTAAACCCTAAACCCTAACCCTAAACCCCAGACCTCCGGCCAGAATCCTTCAGTCCGGCTGTTGGGGGTTTAGGGTTTAGGGTTGCGAGGGTTGCATGGGCGCTGGCCGGCACCTCAGTCCGTGCTGAAAAAGGGTTGCTTTGTCTGACAACGGTTTAACACCACGTTCGACTTCAAATTCTTGCTTTGGGGCAGAAACAGAATGGGCCAGAGATTGTGCATGACTGATTGAGGCGAAATCCATACAGAACATGTACTACGATGTGGCTCGAGCAAAGAACGAGGATGAGCTCTTGGACAAGCCGATTTTTGCTTGAGGAGGCCATGCACGCCTGTCTTGTCGGCCAGGTTTGTACGCACTGCTAAACCAATACACTCGCCTTGGTCCCCTCGTGACGCTGAGGTCAAGATTCTGAGGCCTTCACGGCCAAGTCGATTTTCGCGGCAGATCTAGCGTGCAGCTGTTAAGCTTGACTTGACGACCGAGTCGGCGTGTAGGTGCAAATGAGAACCCGTGGCACCAGCGGCGAGAGCCTACCAGCCCACACTAAAGGTTGAACGCGAGACCCTCATCCGAAATCTAAAGCTTACATGATCTAAACCCTAAAAGCCCCAAGCTTAATGCTAAAAGCCCGAAACCTAGAGCCCCAAGCAGCAACCCTTGAAGTGTTGGACACTTTGGGTGGGGGGGTGGGGGGGGGGGTTGATGCTTTCATTCATTTTTCATGGGGTTGGACTTCGGACTTACATGATTTGTAAGGTTCACGGTAGTATGGCTGCATAGTGGCTGGGGCGCTTGCTGTGCACGTGATCATGCGGCCAACGCATTATGATTACCGTGTTAAGGTACCTGACGTTCTCTGGGTGGTTTCACACAGCCTAGCTGCGGCATGCGGCTGTACCGAACAGTGCGGTAATGGCGAGAGAAATGGTGGAGCACATTACGCCTTTCACTCTCCTTGACACCCGCACGCCCTGATAACTGATCCCAGTTTTGCCAGCGGTCCGAAAATCAGAGCAGAAGCTCGATCAGCTTTCGGTGAAAAGGCTGTGCCCGCGCAGATCCCTGAAGTTTGAAGTGGAACCCCTCAATGTTGCAGCTCACAGGTGTTGTTCCGAAACCATCTGGCTACTTTGCAAAGCTTGCTGCGCGCATTCTGCCGGGAGTTGGGAGTTGCTGATGGTGCAACTCACTAGTTAGTTACTAGGCTATATCCAGTTGGGTATTAAGCCTGAATGCTGGTCCTACTCGCGTCTTTAAGGGAAGCATGAAGAGACATCGAAGTGTGAGTATCCTTCGTTTTTGATCTGCGCCCTTCCTCTGCCATTCTGCGCATGAAGATTGACGGATCGTGCTATTTTGGCTGTTTGGCTCTTTCGGTAGCCGGCCTGGCAATGACCTCATTTCCCTGTGTCTGAACTATCCTTTCCTTGTGCCCCTTGTCCGGAAGGGCTAGGACACCAGAGGGGCCGATGTTTGCAGCCATCCCACGAGCCCTTGCGCCAACCAAGGATCTTTGTGTATTCTCCTCCCTGGAGGACGGCAGCCCGTCGAGCACGCTGAGTAGAGGCCGAGCGAAGGGCCGAAAGATTGCTCGAGTCGTGGCCTTGAGATCTTCATGTTTCTGTTCTGCTTACTCGAGCGTGGAGGCCATGAGATTCTGGCTTCTTCTGACTTCCTTCATGGTGCGAGCCCACCGAGACTCCCGAGAGTCTCAGCACTTCGCGATCCAAGCCGACGAGGAAATCGAAGAGCCTGCACCCACGACTCTCGGCGACAGCGCTTCTTGCGAAGATGTGGCCTGAAGCCCACTTTGGGGTTTGCACCAGGTTTCGCCTGCTGTTTTCGCTTCGCTGCCTGGCCTCCTGTTGATGTTCAGGATTTTGGCTTCGCCTGAGAACTGGTCCAGCGTGCTTGGGTCCATCGAATTAGAGCCCCTTCGAGTGCATCTCCTTCCAGGCGCAGCTTGGCTCGGTCTCTAGTGTGTCTTTTAAGTGCCCTGGCCCCAAACCTTCTTCTCAATTCCTCTGCATGAAGATGGTAGTTCATCGGAGCTACAATTGCAAGTTCAGACTGTGTCATCGGTGCGGGAAATTTCCAGCTGATCTCGAGGTCTACAGCAATGTATCCTTTGTGCTGCCACCCGGTGCCACGCTGGAGTTGCAGGGTGAGCCGGGCACGAAGGTGGAATTATTGGAAGTTTATGGCAACGACAGTGACCGCACTGCCGAGCAACCTTGCTTGAAGCCTTGGGCAGCGTGTAACTGCTTCGAACAGGGATGGCTAAGGTTAGTCTCCTGTTCAGATCGTGGCGTGTGCGCTGCAACATGCAAGGTCTGAGCTCATGCTGAAGAGCCTCCAGCTGTCGCAGAGTTTGCTCGAGGATTTGCGCTATCTGATTCTGAGTTTGACAGATGTGGCACTTGACCAGACTGGCGGCTCCGTGGCCCACTTTGATGCAGGCTGCGTCCGTTCTCTCACAATCCAACGCTCGGTCCTGATTTCGACCAAAATGGATATCTGTGGTGTCAATGTCGCGATCGTCGACTCCACAATCATGTTCCTGATTGTGCAGAGTAAGCTGACCCTTAAGATTGCAAACTCGACGCTTGCGAACTGTAGCTTCCATTCGCACGGGAACCTCAGCATGGTAAACTCCAGCATGATCGGGAAGTACCACTTGGCCTTGGGTTCCCACAACCGGATTCAGAAGTCGCATTTCGGCGCCTGCCACGGATACTGCATTCAAGCTAATGCCTTGGACGCAACGGAAGAATCTTACTTCACTATGGCCGGTTCCTCCATGCAGACCGCGATCTTATGTTTGGGCAGCGGTTGGCGTGTGGAGATGCACGACATGGAAGTCTACGATGTCCACGCACCGTTCTTCGATCTACTTCCCGGATTCGGTTCTGTCATTGAAGGCGACATTCGGCAAACCGTGTCAGTGGCATGCCAAGACCTGCTGGCACAGCCCTGGAAAACCCCATAAACCCCGCAAGCTTCAGCTGCCCGCCACGTACTGCCACTGTTGTTCTTGGCCTGTCCTTCTGCTATACGTCCCAGGCTCCCCACATTTTGAGTAGTCTGTGTGTCGGAGGACGTGATATGACGTGACATCGCAGGTCTCCCTACGCTGGATTTGACTTTCTCCATGGTCAAGTTTCGGAGGGTGTGGAGTGTTGCCGGGAACTTAAGCTGATGCAAATTTGTCAGGTGGTTCTCAATCAACCCGCGGTCGCACCTGCAAGGTCAAAATCGACGCGAACCACTGGAAGCTAGCCATGCACGGCGTCACGATGGAGGAGGTCACGCTTACCGGCCTCAGCCTGCAAAGCAGGGACGAGAACAGGCGTGGTCTTGTTCAGCTTCGTGACGTTTCTATGAGCAACATGTTGGGAGTCGGGATGGTCATGGACCAGGTGATCGCGGACATCTCCGGCATGACATGCCGAGAGTGTAACGTTGGAGTCGTAGCCATGGACCAGGTGATCGCGGACATCTCCGGCATGACATGCCGAGAGTGTAACGTTGGAGTCGTAGCCCGGGGCTCTACTCTAAACATGAGTGCGGTAGATATGCTGGGAAAGCACAAGCAAAGCAACGGTATTGTTTTGAAGTCTTCGCATTTAGAAGCGACTGACGTGCGTATGACGAACCTGGCGGCTGGACTCTTGCTGAAGTCCTCGACCAAAATGACATGCGAAATGGTGTCCGGTCTCAGAAGCACGGCCCCGAGTCCCGAAGATTCCGAAGATGAGGAAGGCCATCTCGGATACCAAAATGTTGGCCTCGCCGAGAGGGCTGCGTACGAAAAGGACAACATTAGGGCATCCTGGTTCATAACTCAAGATGATTTGGTCGCAGGAATCAAGACTCAGATGCAGAATGTGGTGGCTTCGGCTGAGAAGCGCGATCAGATGAAACAAGGTCGCGTCGACCTTGAGGGCTTGTTTGACCCAGACCCCGAACGTCAAAAGGGGCAAAATGCGGCTATGGATGCAAAGACCGGCTGGGCGCTGGAGGAGGGGAAGGTCATGCGCACGAATTCTATCGCCTTCCAGTTCGCCAACGACTATGTCAGGTACCATGCCTACATGGCATTGTTGCCTGCAGCTTTCCGGGTGTGTGTGGAGAATGACTACATATGCAAGCAGTCTCCAATGATGAGGGAGCGCATCCGCGAACCCGATATGTTCGATTGCTGCATGTCAGAAGACCCGGAGACAACAAACATATTTTCTAGCAAAAGCAAATTGCATGCGGTAGGGTGCAACAAGTGCACTCCAACGTCTTGCTTCAGAGAGCAAGCATCGGATGTTGGTGGTGGCTTGCTTTGGGCTCCGTCCGACCCACCAGTTGCATCGAAGCCGAACCCAGTCCCCAAAGAATTTTCAGACCCACATCGTTGGTACATGCATGGCGGACCATGCAGCAAATACGAGTACGTTACCTCCGCAAAGTTCCCGGGTGATCGTGGCCACCATCAACAACGGAAGACGAAGTACTGCCAAATCGTTGAGGACTGGTCGGTGACCAGGTCTTCGGAGGTGCAGCCCGGATCCCTTTCGGGATGGCTCTGCGGCTTCGACTCTGACTCTGAGGTGGACATGAGCAAGAACTTTCAGCCAAACAATGCTTTACAGTCCGACCTGGACAAGCTGGTCAGTCGCTTCACCGGTTACGAGTTGAATAAGACTGAGGGGTACGCGACCTTCGGCGCCATGCTGCAGCAAGATGTCGTTGGGCCAGTCCGCAAGCCTTTCGCGGTGGCCGGAGGCTTCAGCTTGGAGATTCTTAGGGTTTAGGGTTTAGGGTTTAGGGATTCAGCCTAACGCTAGATACGTTAACAGTCCGTCAGGCAGGACCTACATCTACTCTGAGAACGTACAAACGAAAGGATGCAAACTGCACACGAATTTCGACAAATGCCAGCAAGACCGCAAGTTCTACCAGGGGGATTGGGACGGAAAGTGCGGGCGTGAGGTGAAGATTGATGAGACCTGCTTCAAAGGCGAGGCTGAAGGCCCTCTCATTCCCGTGCCGAGTTGTTCCAAAGCATATTGCAACAACACCTGCAACACAAAAAGCCGTCGCTGCACGAGCAATCAGGAAAAGGAGAAAGGAGAACCCTGCGATTGTTCTGGCTGCAACGGGTGCCCGAAGTGTCAGCAGGTCATCTTCGGCCCGAACGTGGACGCAAAGGAAACCGTTTGCACCGACCTCGAAGAAAATCTGACATGCCCGACGGAGGTGTCAAAGAAGAACTGGCTCAACCAAGATAGCGATGGAGACATATTCTTTGTGAAGACTGTACAAGAGCAAGGGAAGGCTTGTGCCACCAAGAAGGATTACCAGCCAAGTTGGAACATTAACTTGGCTATCTTGTGCTGTCCATGAATAAAACCTTGATGGTTCGACAGAAGCTCCAGTGGAGTGGAGTTCCCACACAATGTCGCGCGGGCTGTTGACACCTTGCAGCTCAAGGCGCACCTCCAACGCATATTACGCACGGGCCGTGGAAAAGGCCGCAAAAGGACGAAAGTTTTTGCAAGCAACATGTGCACCAACTCGGGGAATACGCCTGCGATTTTTGTGATGTTGTTGCGGTACATAAATGAGCAGGAATTCGCCGCTGGATTTAGCTGTCATGTGAGGTGAACCGAGATGTCGTAGGAAAGCTAGTCCATCATAGCTCAGACAGCAGAAACTAGCACAGCACCCGTTTCGTTCTTCAAAGGGCAGGTACAGCACGTCCGTCGATGTGGAGCGCTCAGCCCCTGGCAGGGGTGGCTTGGCTTGGTCTGAGCCTTGCTTCCTCGTGTCTGAAGCCCCAGACGCTGTAAAACAGATTAAAATAGTAGATTATGAAGTTATGCCTTTTTAATTAAATTAGGTAGGACCCTTTTAAAGATAGAATGTAAACTGAGCCACCGGTGTAGACTGGAATTTCGGTGCTCGTTTCCTCTAGATATTCGAGAGCTCCAGCTATAGCAGACAGCGCTTCTAATTCTACAGTCTGCCCAAATCCATCCTTCGTAGTACCACTCGGTGCCAAGGTGGAGTTGCCCTAAACCCTAAACCCGAGAAGGGCACGAAGGTCGAGGTGCTAAGTGTACTTGACGACGGCTCCGGGATCGGACTTCCGCGCCGACGCCTGGGCCGCCGCGGCCCGGAGACGAAAAGGCAGGGTACGTTGAACAGCCGAGAAACGCGTTTTAGACAAAATGAGCTTCACACGAAGCCCTCAGATCTGCGAGAAGTTAAGCGTTCTTGGGGACGACTCCATGTCTGACGACTCACTACTGCAGGATGACGGTTCGCGCAAACGAAAGGCAGGTTATGGTGAACAGCTGGCAAGCGTTTTTTGGGCTGGACCCTATAACGCGTAAGCTTCCCGAAGCCTCAGATCTGTCACTCATTCATTGATCTTGTAGCTGCTTGGTTCAGAGATCGCCCAGGCTACAGTCAATTCCAGTTTATGGAAAATACTGCCGTCACGCGGTGCATATAGGGCTGCTTCAGATGTCCACCAAGAGTGTGATTGAAGGGGGGGCACTCCGCGAGCGAAAGTACCGCCTGCAAGCCTGCAAGGCATATTTATAACGTTTTGAATATTTAATAAAAATCATATATAAGAATCTAACAAATAAATCGATATTTAATAAAGAAATATTACAGAAATATAGAGATTTTTTCTGTAATAAAATAACCTTCGAAAATTTCAGTAGTTGAATAGCTTATGCCATTTCGATTATCTTTTGGAAGTTCTAAAGCCTTGAAATCAATGAGAATTCGGAATTCGTTCGAAGGCAAATGCAAGAAGATTGAAGGATTATTAAACTTAATTGTCTGATGCGGGCGCAAGTCGCCGATTTTCAATGTATGGGAAGGTTCAGGACCTCTATAATTGTACAAATCTGCTTCTATATAAACGGGGATGTTGTGCAAAACTTAAATATACGCTTTTGATGTGTTTGGGAACCTGTGTCGAATGCATGTGTGTTTGCAGGTACGTTTTGGATACGTTTTGTTTGTTTGCATCCGTTTCGGATGCAATTGAAGTGCATTCGGAGGCTATTTTAAATACGTTTTCGGACTTTTTCGAGCCATTTTGAGATTTGGTTGGGATTTGATGGGGCCTCGCCCGAATTTCAGCGGGGCCCTGCCCTTTCTACCCCGACAAACGCATCCTAGAACGACTCCCTAAATGCAAAACGACTCCTAAAATGCATACGGTGCAGCTTCGGCCTGGGCCTCGGTCCCGGCTCCTGCAAAATGAATCCATCTTTGCACCGTCTCGTCGAAAAAAGAATATGTTGATTTATTTTTAGATCCATGAGCCTCCAAATACAATCCAAAATTCAGTGCAAATACAATCCAAACGCGTTCTATACGAATTATAGACGCATGCTGAACAAAAGGGATCCCAAATGGGCCGAAAGTACAATCTATAGATTTCCTCGTATATATCCCAAATGCATCTGAAGCGCATACTTAGGAAAATAGAATACTTGTATTTCTAGAATTAGCAGGTCGTAGATTTTCATAATTCAATAATATGGCGGCCAAAGAATTTCGATTTCGAGCGAACATATATTTTTGAAGATTCTCGAAGAAAACGGTGTCGTACTGGTTGCCTCCGTTTTTTTTGTGCGCGCCCATGGCCCCTGTTTCCTCTTGAAAGCCTCTTGCGTGCCTGCCTGTCTCGCGGTACTAAAATTTCGGAAATTTTAGTACCGGGAGCACTTCTTTCCCGGTACCAAAGCTTCCGCAATTTTGGTAGCTTTAGGAAATCTCGCGGTATTAAGATTTCAAAATTCTCGCGGTCATAAAATTTCAGAATTTTTTGCGACATGCTCGCGGTAATAGAACTTCTCAATTTTTAGTACCGCGAGCTCCAGTGCCGTTCTTTCTGAATGCAGGCGTCTCTGTGTGTCTCTCCGTGTGTCTGTGTGTATCTGTGCGTGTGTCTCTGCATGTGTTTGTGTGTGCATGTGTCTCTGAGTGTGTGGTTGTATCTGTCTGTCTGTGCGTCTCTCTGTGCGTGTCTCTGTGCGTCTCTCTGTGTGTCTGTGTGTGTGTGTGTGTGTCTCTGTGTGTGTGCGTGCGTGTGTCTCTGTGCGTGTGCGTCTCTGAGTGTGTGTTTGTGTTTGTCTGTCTGTGCGTCTATCTGTGCGTCTCTATGTGCGTCTCTATGTGCGTCTCTATGTGAGTCTCTCTGTGCGTTTCTCTATACGTCTCTCTATATGTCTCTGCGCATGTCTCTACGCGTGTCTCTCTGCGTGTCTCTCTTCTCTGCCCGTCTCCTCGTGCGCCTCTTTGGGCGGCTGTCTTTGTTTGTGTGGCTATCTATATATTTATCTGAATTTGGTTGTATGACTTTTTGTATATCTGCTCGTGCAATTCCTTGGGCGTCTGCCCGAATATTATGCGGATGATTTTGGCCAAATTGGGCAAGATTTTACTACGTTGTTTAAGGTCGAAATAGAAATAATATATTTTTATATATCTGTCTGCACGTCTATTCATTATATTATCTATTTATTTGGGCGGGCTGGTTCTATATTTGCTTATTTGATTTTATGTGTTTAGTAATTTATATAATGATATTGGTCATATAATTAATTAAATTATTAAATTAAATGATATGCAGGCTTTAATATTTCTATTCGATATTATTTTCGATTCTGAAAATATTTAAATATAATATCATTGATTAAATTTTATATTGATTATTTGAATATATCTAGAAAAGATTTATTAATTTATCTCGAAGATATATAAATATGGTCAGCTTTTAAATTAACCCTTGTAGATTTCATTTTATCTCGCACTTATTTATAAATATCAAATAAGATGGAGAGTAAGTAATGCTCCAAATATAAGAAGGATAATTGATTATATATTATTCAATAAATAAAAGATTAGTAGAATATTATAAATAAAATTCTTAAAGTATTAGTATTCTAGATTTTATTTAAAATAAATTATAATAAGAAGGTATATTTAATTTATAGCTGGAAATTTATTTCATATTGAGATGATTACAAATAATTTGATTCAAATAAAGATTATATATTTGTTTATGCCATAATCTCTTGGCTCTGCTAGTTTCAATTAATTATTAGCCGTAAGCGTAACCGCTTGAAATTGATCCTGGATTTGATTCTATTAAATTATTTTCTACGAGCACATCTGATTTCGTCTAAAGATCTCTACCTATAAGGGACACTTGGAAACATCGCACCAGGCGACCATTCCCTCTTGAAATAGAATTTTCTTATAATCTTTGGAATAGGCTATCCATGAACAAGGGGGACTTGGCCTTTAGTCGTTTATAAATGGCATCATTTCATTGAATAAATTCTATAAGCAACGGATCGTCTTGAGAAAGATATTGAAAGCGTTATCTATAAGTCGGTATTACTGAAATCATTTATTGCGTGGGAGGACTCGATGGCGTAGTTGAAATTGAAGAGGCCATAGGTAAATCTTCAGAAGAGGAGGAAGTGTCCGAACCATCGGCATCATCTCGAGCTTCGCCTCCAAGGCCGGAATTGGTGTCGCACACATGAGAGAGTGGTCAAGCGACCACTTCCTTCGTTCGTTTCCATCGCAAGATTTATGTCTGGGGACCATCCTTTTGCCTGATTCTTGTCGCATCTTCAAGTGTGAAGTGGAGACCAATAGATTCCCATAATAAATTTTATATCAAATAATTGGCAAAGAGATTAATTTTTTTTTTTACTTATATCCTGCCATCCTACTTGAGATCCAAATCCAGTCAAATCTATGATTTTCGAAA